TTTGCTGTTTCCTTTAACATTTCCAGATATATGTAGAGAGCTGCTTGTGATTCGGCGCTGTGTGGTATGAATTTTCTATAATAATTCAACATTCCTAAATATCGTCTCATCTGTGAAACATTTTCTGGTTGTGGGAATTCTAAAATTGCCTTGATTTTGAACTGTGGTGGTTGGAGTCCAGAATTAGATATTTGGTAGCCAAGAAAATTCACACTGTCCTTTGCGAAATTGCATTTTGCAGTATTTATGATAATGCCATAATCAGAAAGTCGTTGAAATAATTTCTTGAGGTGTAATAAATGTTGTTCGAAACTATCTGATGCCACCAGGATGTCGTCAACGTATGTGAAACAAAAATCTAACTATTTTAGAACATCGTTCATGAACCGCTGGAATGTTTGACCAGCGTTTCTCAAACCATAGGGCATGAACGGAAATTCAAATAATCCAAAAGGTGTACTGATTGCTGTTTTTGCAACATCATCACTGGCAATAGGGTATACGCGTGTGAAAATTTTACACTGGAATATATTTTTGTTCCATTACTCATGTGTATAAATGTCGAATTATACATCCGAAAAACATTATTAAGCACCGAATATTTAATAATTTCTGATTGAAAATCATAATATTTGCAAATTTCCGACCACCAGCCGAACTGCAGCGATGATTTCCGACTGGATGTGGCTGTTTTTATTTGTCATGTCAAACATTCATGGGAAAATATAGAAGAAGAATACCATGGCTGTATGTTCATGTCCGAAAGATTGAAAATAATATAAGAGAAAGTGAGGTTATGATTATCTGAGCTTGTAGTTTCTATAATGTATCTCAATTATATGATATATTCTGAATAATAATAACTGAATAATAAGCAAATATCTACAATAAGAAGGATCAAACAGGACTTCTTTTTGCATGTTGTTTCAAATATATATTACTACCTATCAATTTATATCTCATATAGTTTTCCATATCTTCTTCAAGCTGAAAACGAAATCACATATTATATTATTCTCCTAATAACATGAGGAACATAATCATTGATATATAATGGGTTTCACTAGGACATACTTGAACGTATACCTACTCACTTCGAAATGGTCTTCACAAACAAATCCTCTGGTTTTCTCGGATAAATCATTTCTACTTATGGCTTGCAACCATAATTTTCTTTTCTCTTTATTTTTATCACTCGATCCCACTGGCAATGGAAGGAATATTTTTCCTGGCGATACTTTTGTTAATGAAAGGCATTGCGGCACTAGGCAGTATTTGGTATAAACATTATCATTTTCCATTTTCAAATTTCAAATTTCTGGCGTTTAAAACTGTTTTCTTCTCCTACCTCTTCTTCTTCTTTTTTTTCAATCTGAATCTTGTCATTCTGCCGCGCTAGTCTATGGCTGTGCGGCCTAATACTATGACGTCATAATATTAGTGATGGCCACTAACCCGTTTTCCTGTGACTTTATATTTAGCCTCATTTAAATGAAATTTGTTAGAGTCACAAGCAAATTTGAGATTAATGAATGATATCCAGTGTTATTATAAGGAAGAAGGAATATAATTTCGATTAAACAAAAAATCATGCGTATTCCTTATTGGTATCTGTTGATAGGCTCTAAATAGTTCTATGGTCGAAAATATTGTTTTTGCATGAAGAAAACTATTGCAGTCTTGAATATTAGGAAGGGGATAACGATCTGGAATTGTCACTGAGTTTAGGCGTCTATAATCTCCGCATGGTCTCCAATCACCGTTTTTCTTAGAAACCATGTGTAATGGACTGGACCACGGGCTATTGGATGGTCTACACAATCCTCATTTCATGGGACATTCATTTGTGTTTCGAACGAATACGTGATAGGTAGGTATCTGAAGCATTTTATTCTGACATTTATTCATTACGTTTCAAGCCATTCAAATGCATTCCATCCAAGCCATATCGTGGCATTTCACTACAATTAATATCATTTCAAACCATTTTGTGATATTTCAAGCATTTCGTTTCATTTCATGACTTTGAAGTTATTTGGAGGCATTTCAATGATTTCAGAACATTTCCTATCATTTCCTTATAGCATTTTATTTTATTTCATGTCATTTCAAAATATTTCAAAGCATTTCATGGCTTCTCGAGGCATTTCAAGGTATTTCATGGCATTTCAAGGATTTCAAGGCATTCCATAGTATTTCAGAAATGGCATTTCACTTTATTTCAAATTATTTCAAAATATTTCGAAGTATGTCCAGGCATTTCAGACCATTTCATGGCATTTCAAGGTATTTCATGGTATTTCAAGAAATTTCATGGCATTTCAAGGAATTTCAAAGTATTTCAAGGATTTCAAGGCATTTCATGGTATTTCAGGAATAGCATTTAATTTCATTTCAAGGCATTTCAAGGTATTTCATGGCATTTCATGGCATTTCAAGGAATTTCAAAGTATTCCAAGGATTTCAAGGCATTCCATGGTATTTCAGAAATGGCATTTCGTGACCTGTTCCACGCATTTCCTTAGTGGTTACCCCCTCGGATTTGATGGTCGAAAAGGACTAAATCATGCTTGTTAGCCTGTATCTTCTCAAGTTCTTTCGCTAAAAATTACGTGCATCACGGGATTTCTCAGATGCCAAATCAGTGAGAGGGTTGAAAGTAACATCCAATTTTTTGAAATACATGCTTTGCAACATCTTCGCTGTTGTGTTTCACATTGTTTTCACCACGTATTCTTTATAATATTCCCCATTCTCTTTCTTCATATTGAAGCTTCAGTTCATCAATATTCCTCCCACATTTTCACTGACTGTTCGGTTTCCAAGTTTCGTTGTTTAAAAAATTCTCTAAATTGGAAAATGATGCGACGCGCAACACTTGATAAACGAACAGTAAATGCTATCGTTGCTATGGTAACTCAATTCATCAGATTTTTTATCCACTTGCATTTCTGTTCCTTCCGATTTGAGTGGAAATGTCGATAAAATCGTGCGGAAAAGTTAGTTTGCCGCACTATAGTGCTGAAAAGTAACTTTTCCGCAGGATTTTTGTATTGTTGAAAATGAGGACTAACAAACTGATCTATGTAACTATTTTGTCTTATGTGTCATTTTGTAGCATTATTATAAAATCTTGTTTATTAAAAACCTCAATTTTCATAAATATTATGGATAAAAACACTTGTAGGAAAAATATTGTACGTAACTCTTTTCCACCCTTAACAACTTGCCCGAACTCCGCGTCGTTCGTGCAACTGCCGTCGCGTGCTGAAAAGTACTTCTTTCCGCACTTGTTAGGTAAATAACTATTATACAGGGTGAGTCAGAATAAGACCGACAAAATTCGTACACTAATTCCTCACCTCATTTTGAGGAGAAAAGTTCCTATCAACGTATCTCCTATAATGCATCCTCACTGAGATACAGGGTGTTGAAAGTACGAAAAAAGTTAAGATAACTCTAAATTCCTCCAGAACCCCTGTTGTTAGAAAGTTACTATACCAATCCAGATTAATCAGAGTAATCACAGGGAGTTTTCATTTTTGAATTTTGTCAACCAGTGGCGTAGTAAGGGTCTTATGTCGCCGCATGTTCCTTCAAAATTTTTCTCAGACAGATGAATTATCAAATTAGTGAATGACATCAGTTGGGATTATCAATACTCAACCTGAAAGTAATAACATTATGCATGCCTAAATGTAGAGGTTCCGGAGATATTTGCGAAAAACTTAAGACAATGCTGGAGGTAGTATTGAGTAGAAGCCTAATTTTCTGCGTACCATAATCGCATAATGCTGATATTATACGAGATATCGATATCACTTTTCAACCTCCGGGATATTTTTGAATGTCGAAAAAATTAAAAACATCTTGAATTTGTCAGAACCATCAAACCATTAAAACAGTTTTCATTTAAGGGAAACCATGGCAACGTTTTTAATATGTCAAACAGTGAAAAATTTCAATTATTTCAATAGATTATTTGGCACATAGAATATATATGCGCTAAAGGAAATACAAAAATTAAATTCGAAGCATATGTTCAAATGGACCTCCATTTTGTTCAATACATAATTGACATCTTCTGATCATGGACTGTCGCACGTTTCTCAACTAATTCTGACTTATCTTAATCTTATCAACATTCAAAAATGTTCAGGAGGTTGGAAAATGTTGCGATTTCTCGTAAAAGTTCAGCATTATGCTATTATAACACGCAGCGAATTGGGTCTCAACCTTAAAACATTTCTTTAGTTTTTTGCAAATATCTTGGGAACCTCTACACTTAGGCATGCAGAATGTTATTACTTTTAAGTTAGGTATTGATGAGACTAACTGATGTCATACACCAATTCATCTGTCTAAGAAAAAATATGAAGGAAAATGTAGCGATATACTACCCTAACTACGCCACTGATTGACAAAATTAAGAAATAACTTTTTGTGATTACCCTGATTAATATGGATCGGTATATCAAGTTTCATATTTTTTGGTAGAGGGGTTCTGGAGAAATTTAGAAAAATCTTAACTTTTTTCGTACTTTCGACGCCCTGTATCTCAATGAGGATAAATTTCAGGAAATACGTTGATCGGAACTTTTCACCTCAAAATGAGGTGGGGAATCCGTGTACGAAGTTTGTCGGTCTTATTCTGACTCACCCTGTATTTCCTACCCCATATAAAATGTTGTAATCGGGAGAAAATGTGAAGTTCAACGTCAAATATCTCGAAATCTGTGGGAGATAACATACAATATATATACTTATTCGCAAGACCAAAATTATACTATTTCTAATAGTAACGAAATGTTATGTGGTATGTTTAAGAATTCATATAAGTTGCCCATAACTTTTTTTTTAGATGTTCAACTGTTTTTTTGTTAACATATATAAAATCTACAGGTAAAACTATATATTTTAAATTGACCATTAAATAAAAAAGTTGTGAGGAGGTTCAAAATATACGCCCTGTACTATTATCTATTCTATTTATTTCTTACCTGTGACACAGACAGTTACAAATTTTGATCCAAATATACCACTGGAGGCATATCTACAGGAGTTCGGATACAGGTTCTGATAATGGCCAGCCATTATACACTCCTGAGCAGATAAAAAGTGACTTTCAATATTCCTCGTGTGTTTCACGGTTCCTTTCTGGACATCTTCGGCTAATAGGTCTGTGAAAATCCAGCCAACGCGTCTCAAGCCAAGTGATATTACTATTTGTTCGATGATATTTTCATTTTCATTAGGCAGAAGACGCACCGAGTCGCGAGAACTCTCTTGAGGGGGCTCATATATTGCGACGATGTTAGCTCTAATACCTGAAAGAAAAGCAGTCAGTATATGTATATGAAAGTGACTTAGACATCTTGTCCAAGACCAATATTTATGTTCTTCAGTTTTCAGCTTTATTATTTTTCCGTCGACCTCGTATTAACGACTAAGTTTAATGTATATGAAATCGTTCATTAATGACCCCTATTAATGGACGATTTGTCTATTAATGCACTATTGTTTTATAGGCAACCAAAGATACACCGCGTGCATTCATTGCTTATGCTATAACTTACGGAATCTGCATTTAAATCGAAAATATGGATTTCATCGACGATTTTCCGTTAACGGGTTCGCCTTTCCATGTTTCTGACACGATTTTAATCCCTGTTTTCTAACACAAGCAATTTATTTCCTATGTTGATCATTTCGACAAATGTCAAATTACACTAATGTCACTAACAAGTCTACTGGGTGATTTTTAGCAGTTTCCGGATGGATGATGAATTCGCGAACCAAGTTTTCTTCATTGCAGGAGAAATGAGAAATATAGTCGACGGAAAAATTGTGTAACCGACTTGTATATTAAAAGGCGATTAATGATCTCGAACATTAACGTACTCGCTTCGCTCGCACGTTAAAATACCTCGATCATTATTCGCCCTCATTAATACACTAGTTGGTTAAATAACTATTAATGCTCCATTTCGAATAATTTCGTTTCTGATTTCAAACATTCCAATTTATGATTTTGAATGAAATACGAGAATGGTTTTGGTACACTGTAGCTTTCTTGTGGAGAGTTAATTAACCTCAACATCTACAATATGTATTTATTACACTTTCCTATGTTCTATTTCACCAACAAGAGGTGTGATTTCCTTTGAGACGACTAAACAAACTTTATGATAATTTGTTTGTTCGAGTTTCTTTCAATACAATAATTTTTTCGTTGATTTCGTATCGATGAGTTTATACACTGTAACGAGCTGGGTTAGGGTTCTATAGATAATGTGGAGTAAGTAGTCAAAATGCAACTATTTATTATTATAATCAAATACAATCTGTGACAATTTGTCACACAACGGACATCCAAAATAACGCGAATCTATAAATCTACACACATGAAGACTGTACCACTTGTACCAGCAAAACTCATCAATAAAGTCAATGGAAAGTTTTAGATTACTCACTGTTCATCCGGTACGTCGACGACTTACGCATTTACGAAACAGGAATATCGTATTCTGTTTTTACAGAATGCTGTGAAAACAGCTACCATACATTCGTCGATGACTCTGATACCGTTGGTAGGCACATTTATGTATCAGTCGACTCAAACTGCCTTCGAATACACATACAAGACAATACCTTATATCGTGGGCTTCGTTGTATCGTCGGAAGCGATTGGAAGACGGTGTGCACTTCACAACGTCTCGCTCACGACTGCCGAGAGTGTCGAGTGCCGACTGTCCGCAGACCCTCCTCGTCTTCAGTCCTCACTCGCTGGTTTCGCGCGCATTCATCACACAAACGTACCGCCGTAACACACAACTCCACATTCCGCTGTTATAGGTACAGTCGGGTACAGTCACAAAAAGCTCACTATACAATAGTTGAAACGAAATAAGAGAACATTGTCAGTGGCGTGCTACATAACCCCCCTTTCAAATTGACAAGTATTGGGAGATTTGAAACAACAACACCCACTAACACTGTTCGATAGGTAATACATATGGTTTTAAATTATACAGATTCTGAATACCTAGGATGGTACCAGATGCATCATCCATGACTTCATAAGCATTGGGACCTTTGATACTGATAACAGTACACGGGCCCTGGAATAATAAAAAAAACTTTCTTATCTCTCTAGTATCACTACAGGATTGAGAGTGAGTTCGTACCAACACCTTGTCACCCACTTGAAAACTCGTTAATTTTTTACCCTTGTCATGACGAAGCTGCCGCTTTTCAGCCCTGGTCATCAACCGTTGATGAGCTAAAGTGACTAACTCAATTCTATCAATCTTGTCATCGGAATCAGGAAACTCAATATTTTGAACAAAAGAATTCTGTGGTCTACGTCCAAAATGTAAGAATTGTGGAGACATATTAGTTCCTGAATGAACCACGCGATTGAGCCAATATTGCACATCTTTCAGAACAAATGCCCACTTAGTATGTTGGGAAAAGCAGAGGGTGCGCAACAAACGACCAATTTCTCGGTTAACCCTTTCAGTAGGGTTACCTTGTGGATAATACACGGAGGTGTGACTAACTTGAACCCCTTGATCATTCAAAGTCCTTGCCCATAATCTACCCTTAAACTGACTTCCATTATCCGATAAAATTACTCGCGGTATACCAACTTCATGAAAATACCTCTCGAGCAAACATTTCAATATGGACCGAGTGGTTGCTCGTCGAAGTGGGAACAACATCACATATTTACTGAACATATCGACGGTTACCAAAAGCTGGGTACACCCTAATCTAGACGTAGGCAATGGCCCCATGAGATCTAAACAGACCATCTCATTAATTCCTGTGGGTATAATACTGTTCATAGCACCGTGAAGATGGGGAGAAATTTTGGCTTTTTGACATATATCGCAGCCTGCTACAATTTTTCGGCAACTTTTCCGCATTTTTTGCCAATAATAAACTTGACTAAGTTGTTGAAAGCACTTCTCTGACCCGAAATGACCTTCTTCCTGATGCTCTCTCAATATTAGATTATTTATCAAACTCTCAGGGATACACAATTTGAAACCGGGATTATGTTGCGATCCACGCCTAAATAGCAAATTATTATGGACAACGTACCATGATTTCATACGATTTTTCCCCAAATCATCATCATCTCCATTTTTCAATGTATTTAAAATTTTTGAACAAAATGGATCATTTTCTTGAACACTCACCAAGTCTTTCATCTCACATCTCACCCTTTTAGTAAGCTCAGTTTGTCTTAACGCAAAAACTGAAATTATAGTTTCTTCTGGAACCTCCACCAAGGCGCCAGGCAATTCTTTGGTGGGAAAGCGTGAAAGCGCATCCGCCCAAACATTTTCACTTCCCTTTCCATACACGATATCAAAATTGTACTCCTGTAGATAGATGATCCATCTTGTGAGTCGCGCACTTAATAATCTACAAGATTGAATAAAGGATAGGGCCTTATGATCCGTCTTAATCGTTAGATCTCGACCCAACACGAACACACGCCATTTTTTCAAAGCGAAAATAACAGCAAGCGCCTCTTTTTCGGTAACCGAATAATGCAACTCAGGACCGTGTAACGTCCTGCTAGCAAAAGAAATTACATTTTTATATCCCGTTTTACCATCTATCTGATATAGACATGCCCCCAAGGCATATCCAGAGGCATCTGTTTCTATATAAAATCGCTTATTGACGTCTGGATGTTTAAGTTCTATTACGTCTACGAAAGCTTTTTTAATTCGCGCGAAAGCTTCTTCCTCATCCACCCCCCAATGCCAAACAACATTTTTTTTCAATAATTTCAAAAATGGTACTAACAATTGAGAATAATTTTCACAGAACCGAGCATCATAATTAACTACACCGAAAAAAGATTTCAATTGTTTAACATTCCGCGGCGACGGAAACTTCTGAATAGATTCAAATCTTGAAGGATCCATTTTTATTCCTTCTGACGTCAGGATATGCCCTAGAAAGTGAATCTCTTTTCTTACAAAACGAGATTTTTTCAATTTAATTGATACTTCAGCTTCCTGAAATTTCTTAAAAATATTTTCGAGATGATATAAATGAATATCAGGAGTTTCAGAAAATATCAATAAATCGTCAACATACGCTATGACATAATCAACGACATCTGGCCCTAACACGGTATTCAGACCACGGATAAAACTAGCAACACTAGTTGATAATCCGAACGGGAGAACTTGAAAAACATAAGTCTGATTTTCAAACAGAAACCCAGTATATTTCTGGTGCTCATAACGAATAGCAATTTGCCAGTAAGAGGCTGATAAATCAACTGAACTAAGACATTGCCCTTCAGTAAAATTGTATAACAAATCCGCTGGATTTGGCGGCATAACGTGATCTTTCACCATGCGCATATTCAATTTCCTAGCATCAATACACACTCGAATTGACTCATCCTTTTTCTTTACAATGACTAAAGGGCTAATAAATTCAGTCTGACACGGGCGTATAACCCCCCAGTCTAACATCTCCCTAATTTGCCTCCTCACTTCATTTTTATAAACATGAGGGATAGGAAATGGTTTACAAAAAAATGGCGACTCATCTGTCAATTTTATTTCATGTAAATAGCCACTGATTAGGCCTGGTTGGTCTGAAAAGATTTCCCGATACTTAATCAAGAGCAAATATAACTTGTGTTTATATTCCTCAGTGAATAACTCTGATTCATCAACAACCCTACTGAGTTCCGCATCAGTATAAAGCTCGCGAACTGGTTTTCGCAAAACAACATTTTCTTCATCGACTATCTCACTAACTGTAATGTGAACCCCAGGATTCACCTCTCCTACGAAATCAATTCTCTTGAAAACCCCATTGAAAACTGCATGTATCATGTTTTCATTGAAATTTATTATCACCCCATTATCACGCATCCAGTCACAGCCTAAAATTGCAGAACGTGATAGACCCGGAATAACTAAAAACGGATATTCACACGACAACTGACCTATTTTCAAACTTAAAAAAACCTGTTGATTAACTTTACTCGACTTTGATCCCAGTGCCCCCATCAGAGTGACACATTTCGCTGGGATCTTTGGTATATTCGAATTGACCGCCAATAACTCATTCAAAAATTGTTCGCTTATTCCAGTAATCTGGCTACCCGAATCTACTAAGCATCGTACCGATATAGATTCGATTTCTATTTCAATAGTTGGCACTAACGCCACAACATTCACTTTAGGATCAGATTCCTCAAGAAGATCTTCCACATCCGCATTAAATAAAGTTGCCACTGGGTTTACTCCCCCTCGAACGTTAATATTGTTAGATCGCCCTT